TGATGAAGCTTCTAGAGAATTACTGACGATAAATACGCACCGAGGTTTGTATCAGTACCATCGACTTCCATTCGGAGTTAAGTCCGAGCCAGCAATTTTTCAGCAAATCATGGATACTATGCTAACAGATGTAGATGGTGCTGCCGCATATTTGGACGATATCATTGTCGTCGGAACTAACCCAGATGACCTTTTCAGAAAGCTGCCCTTAGTACTTGATCGCATACAAGAGTACGGATTTAGACTTCGCCCAGAAAAGTGCACGTTTTTCATGGACTCCATTAATTTTCTTGGCTTCATAATTGACAAGAACGGTAGACGTCCAGATCCGTCAAACATTGATGCTATAAAAATGATGCCACCTCCCAAAGATGTGCCTACTCTGAGGTCCTTCTTATTACTCGTCAGTCATTACAGTCAATTTCTGCCACATATGCACAGCGTGCGTGGACCACTCAATGAGTTACTCACCAAGGACAAACGTTGGCACTGGTCCGAAGATTGTCAGAAGTCCTTTGAGGAGGTGAAGCGAATGCTGTGTTCTGACCTTTTGCTGACACATTACGACCCTACACTTGAAATCGTGGTGGCGGCAGACGCTTCGAAGTATGGCGTGGGTGCAGTTATCTCTCATAAGTTTGCTGACGGATCGGAAAAAGCGATCGCACACGCAGCTCGATCATTGTCGCCAGCCGAAAAGAATTACGGGCAGATAGAGAAAGAGGCATTAGCGATAGTCTTTGCAATAAAGAAATTTCACAAAATGTTGTATGGCAGGAGGTTTACCCTGCTTACCGACCATAAACCACTCCTAGCCATATTTGGATCAAAGTCCGGTATACCCGTTTATACCGCGAACAGACTGCAGCGTTGGGCCACGGCCTTACTCGCCTATGATTTTGCGGTGAAGTACACGGCTACAAAGGACATAGGTCAAGCAGACGCACTTTCCCGGTTATTGGAGCTACAACAGCATCAGCAGGAAGAATCTATAATTGCAGCAATCTCCCTTGAATCAGAGGTCAACCAGGTCTTGATGGAGAATTTTAGGAAGCTTCCCGTGACGTTTGACATGGTACGTGACGCAACTGTGCGAGATCCCCTCTTGCGCCAGGTAATCAAATTTCACACTACGCTGTGGCCAAGTGATACTCCATCCGGAGAGCTACAAATTCTCTCTCGGAGAAAGGACGAACTTTCGATCGTAAATGGGTGTTTACTTTTGGCCGAGAGAATTGTCATACCCAAAGAACTTCGCCAAAGAGTCCTTCAGCAATTTCATCGGGCACATCCTGGAATTAACAGAATGAAAAGCATTGCTCGGAGTTTTGTCTACTGGCCAAACATTGATTCGGAACTCGAGCAACTAGTAAAGTCATGTCCCAGATGCGCGCTTGCTAGTAAGGCACCGAGAATAGCTGACTTAGCTTCCTGGCCGTTGGCAACAAAACCGTGGGAACGCGGGCACGCTGATTTCTTTGGTCCCCTAAACGGTCAGCAGTACCTAATAGTTGTTGATTCCTATAGTAAATGGCTTGAGGTCTTCTGTATGGAGCGTGCGACAAGTGGTACAACAATTAACATTTTGAGGAGACTTTTCAGTCAACACGGAATACCAGAAACCTTGGTCACTGACAATGGTTCTCAGTTCACTTCTTCCCACTTTGCCGAATACTGCGCACAGCATGGTATCACGCATCTACGGTCGCCACCGTTTCACCCTCAGTCAAATGGACAAGCAGAGCGCTTCGTCGACACGTTTAAGCGATCGCTACTAAAGATGCGGGGGGAAGGAACCACACAGGAGATACTTGATACATTTTTGGTCGTGTACAGATCAACTTCAAATCCCCAAGTACCAAACCAGTTGTCGCCGGCAGAAGCACTAATGTGAAGAAAACTCCGTACTGTGAATTCCCTGCTAACTCCGAGGTGTACTAATGAGCAAGAAAGGAACGTTCGGATGGAGCAGTACTACAACTAGCGACACAGAACTCAAGCACGCCGCTTTTACCCCGGACAGCGTGTCTTAGTAAGAGACTATCGCGCGGGAAACGCGCAATGGGTGGTAGGATCGATACGGAGAAATATTGGACAGGTGCTATATGAGGTTAATGTGGGTAATTTGATTTGTACCAGGCATTCCAATCAGCTGCGACCAACTAGCATCCCTGCGGGCACAAGCGCTCGGTTACTACCGTTAGATATTCTACTAGAGAGTTTCAACATGCCATCTAATCCCCAAAGCAATTCAGATGCATCCCGCACAGAAGTCTCAGAGGAACCGAAGGTCCAGACCCGGCGCTGTACTGATCGACTACGGAGACCTGTCGTAAGAATGCAGTTGGATCCAAAAATGAAGTCTTATGTCAACTTTTGCGGGGGAAGGTGTTAATGGGAAGGAACCAGCCAATGAGAGCGTTTTACGCTGAGGGCTATTGATTTGACCATAAATTAAATGTACCGTTAGTTGGACGTTAAGTAAA